TGGGGGCAGAACCTTGGGAGTCTTTGAAGATGAGGGCAGGGCCATAACTGGAGGCAGGACCTGGAACCGAAGGGTGTTTGGGGTACAGGACCAAGGTTTGGTAGAGAAAGGGGTGTAGGGGGAGGAGAGGGAGGGTCACCGTTTGAGGACAGAAACTGACACAAAATTGAATATTGGGGCGAGGCCAGCATTGGAGTCTGGATTTGGAACTGAATTGGAGCCAGGGGTTGGGTACAAAAGACTGAGGCCAAAGATCATGGCTTAGATAGGACAAAGTTTGTGAGTTGAGGGTGAGATCAGGGGTCATGCAGGAAACCAGCCCCTGGCTCTGCATTCTGCCCTTCCCTACCTTAGTTTCCCTGTCTTCTCCCCAGAGTGCCGTGTTCCCCCCACCCCACATACCCCCCGGAGTTTCCAGGCTTGACTTGAGCTCTCTCTGCAGGCCATCCATGGCTTCCGAGAGACAGAAAAGTCTCGCTGGTCAGAGGCAAGCCGGGCCATCCTGCAGCGTGTTCAGGCAGCCGCCTTTGGCCCAGGCCAGACCCTGCTGTCCTCAGTGCACGTGCTGGACCTGGAACCTCGGGGCTACATCAAGCCACACGTTGACAGCATCAAGGTGGGCAGAAGCCTGCAGCTTGAAGCTCCCAGCTGGGGTTGGGCCAGCCTGGCCAGAGCCTGACCCACCACCCTGCTCCCTCTTCCAGTTCTGTGGAACCACCATCGCTGGCCTGTCCCTGCTGTCTCCCAGTGTCATGCGGCTGGTACACACCCAGGAGCCTGGGGAGTGGCTAGAACTCTTGCTGGAGCCATGCTCACTGTACATCCTTAGGTACTGCCCCGCCAAGAAGCCACCACCCTACTAATCACTGGTCAGACGCTACCCAGCACTTCAAGCACCGTCTCTCATTCAGCCCTCCCAGAAAACTACCATCCACTACACAGCAGACGCTTAGCCTGGAACAGGGGTGCCCTCACCCTACCCAGTCACAGCCTCTGTTTTCTCTTTCAGAGACTCTGCCCGTTATGACTTCTCCCATGAGATCCTTCGGGATGAAGAGTCCTTTTTTGGGAAACTTCGGGTTCCCCGAGGCCGACGCATCTCCGTGATCTGCCGCTCCCTCCCTGAGGGGCTAGGACCAGAGGAGCCTGGGCAGCCACCCCCAGCCTGCTGACCCCCAGGCCCTTTGCCCAGCTTCTCAGGGACACTGTTTGTGAATAAAGCTAGGAAATGGACAAGGTGGCCTTCCTTGCACTGGCTGTTTGCTGGGGCTGGGATCTGCAAGGGAAGCCCAGACCCTACCTGCCCACCAACCAGGAACCAAGATGACAAGGTCAGAGCACCCCACTGAACACAGAATCACAAGACCCCAGGATCAATTTCCTTTATTGTGTCCCTTGCTGGCATCCCTAGCCCACCCCATCTTCTCATCTTCTGGGCATCCAGGTCTCCAATAAATAGGTCATCAGACCTCTGGTGTGGCTGCAGGGCCCCGTCTGGGCACCCTCAGCCACTGCAGCCGCAGGCAGCCGCTGAGAGCTGGGGCAGCCACTGCCAGTGGTGGTGATCATCCAGGAAGGCCACGTCAGCATAGCGGGTGGGCTGGCAGCAGGGGCTTCCATGTGCTCGGCCCTGGCTCCGCAGCCAGGCCAGCGTCAGGCTGTGCTGGGTGCGGGCACCTCGGGGACAATTGCCAGCACAGTAGCGGAAGATGATCGTCTCCTCCGAAGCATAGCCCAGGCCCAGCTCCACCACTGGCAGGGCCAAGCTCCGCAGCTGGCATGGGCCAGCCGGGGCTCGGCGCAGGCGGGCACCTGGGTGGGAACAAGGGGCAGTTGACAGTGGTCAGGGGTTGGCCAGGAAGGAGTTGGGGAGTCACACGGGGTGCTGGGGATCCTTACCCAGCTGTGCCTTCCAGGTCCCTGTGTCTGCTGCTGGCTCAGATGAGAGTGTTCCCTCCACCACTGGAGCCCCTGGAGTACTCGGGTTCCCGCCGAGGCCCAGCTGCAGGGATAGGAGCAGCAGAGAGCCGAGCAGGACTCTTCCTATGGCCATTGTGACGAACAGGTCCTGAGGATGGAGAGGTCCTGCGCTCTCAATTTATCCCCATCTGGGCTGGGAAATAACCTCTTCACTGCCGGATGCTGTATGGGCACGAAGGCCCCATGTCCCCCACCAGCTTGTCTCCCACATCCTCAGACCCAGGCAGGCCAACTCCCTCTGTCCCACATTCTTTCCTTCTAAGAGTTAAGGGCTCAACCCCTCATCTGGACATTCCATAGATCTATTTCTGACACGCCCTCCACACCTTGATTTAAGAGTTGAAGCGGCAGCCAGGGCCCAGCCCAGGGTGAGCAACCAGGGTCCCTGCCCCACTGTCCCACCTGCCATGTGGAAGGAGAGGTGGGGGGGGTATGTTCTGTGGGTCCCCCATTGGGGCCCCTTCCCATTCAAGCAGGGTGCTGAGGCTCAGGAGCCCCTGTGTTGGGCACCAGGTGGAATGGATATGTTGGGTGGGTGGGGAGCGGGAGCAGGGAAGAGGTGGTTTGGCAGATGAATTAGCTAATGGGGACTCATCCATCATGGCTCCAGCCTAGAGGATTAAGACATCATGCCCCTGTGTCTGGGCCTGGCTGAGCCAGTGTCAAAACAGGAAAAGGGAGAGGCTCCAGGACAGCCAAGAGTTGGGACACAAGGGGCCGGAAGCTCACCCTGCAGGGACTCCTGCCTCTAGAAGGCCCACCAGAGGACCCTGGGACTCAGCCGGTCCTGGTGTCCAGAGCATCAGCAAGAAGGGAGGTTGGCTCCCACTGGGTCTTGGAGGCAGTTGCAAGTCACAGTGACTTCTATACCCTGCCTCTGTGGCCCCTGGGAAGTGAGACTGTCCCTTACCTCTGAAAGGAGGCTAATCAGTCCCTCCCACATGAGGTTCTGAGGACAGTGATTAACATGGTGTTTGGCACTGAAGAGCTTGGGAGAGCTTTTGAGACAAAGGAAATTCAAATAGCTTTTGCATGTTTGAAGAGGTGCTCGACCTCACACAGGTGAGATTGAGTTAAAACTCGACTCGGAACCCAAGATTGGCAAAAATCAGAGCTTGCTTTCACATGGCTGGGGTGCACGCATGACATAGGTGCATCCCCACACTGTGGGTGGGAGTGTAAGTTGGTAGCAGTTGAGCAGTTGATACTGAAACTGCAAATCCCATCCCTTTGACCCCGAAACTGTTTCAGGAATTTATGCGTAGCAGGTGAGCAGACACAAACTCAGGACTATCCGCTGCTTTCTATCAGCAAAAGATCAGAAATGACCGGAAATCTACATACAGGGGATTGCTTCACTAATTTGGTATGGTTGTTCTTTTTAAAAAAATACATTTTATTGATTTTTTTACAGAGAGGACGGGAGAGGGATAGAGTTAGAAACATCGCAGGGGATGTGCCCGCAACCGAGGTACATGCCTTTGACCAGAATCGAACCTGGGACCCTTTAGTCCGCAGGCCAAAGCTCTATCCATTGAGCCAAACCGGTTAGGGCTGGTGTGGTTGTTCTTATTGCAGTACCTATTGAGACTACTTTCAGAAGTAGTCCAGAGTCACCCAGAATTAAACGCAGGCAGAATTTGAACCCACGTCCTGCTGAACACACGGTCCCTGCTCCTAACCACTGAGGCATATGGCTTTACTGGTAGGTCACAGTCCACGTGGCCGAGTATAGGGGTAAAAATCCCAGGACAAAGGGTGAGAGCATCTTTCCTGCTGCCCCAAAAAGGCCTGGTGGAAGTATGGGGAGGGAGGTTGGACCGACCTGGGACATTCCTAGGAATTAGCCTGACATCTCAGGCATTCCCATTCGACAGCCAAGGTCCTGTGGAACTGGGTGGGGAAGTTTTCCACCTGCAGTTTCCAGCCGAGGGCAAGATAGAAATCTGGATCACTTGGGATAGGGGTTCAAAAGTAGCACCTGCTGCCAAATTTCATTTCCAGCAGCATTATTGTCCATGAAATTGAACAGTCCTCCCACTACAGAACATCTAGCAATGCTGGAAAAAATAAATGCATAACCAACTTGTAAGAAAGGGAATCCCCAGAAACATCACTGGAGAGCTGAAAAAGGTGCCAACATCAGCAATAAAAGGGGTTTGGGTTTTTGCTGCCATGTAGGGACAAAGCCCTGAGCTGAGAACCATCCCAGTGGGCTGGGACTCGTGGGGCATCTGGTGGGAGCAAAGGCAAAAACCATTTACAAGGACCGGCCTGTAGACCATCCAGGAGTCCCACAGATAGAGCCCCAAGCTGGCCACCAGTTCCCCTATCCAAGGTTACAGTCATGAAGACCAGTCAGAAGATAGAACAGGAAGCCTGTGAGCTTCAGGTGCTGATGTGTCTGATAAAAACTCTAAGATGCTTAAAATAAAAATGTGAAAGGGATGAAAAACATTTAGGACAGTCTAGTCTGCATGGCTCAGTGGTTGAGCATCGACCTATGAACCAGGAGGTCATAGTTCGATTCCCAGTCAGGACACATGCCTGGGTTGCGGGCTTGATCCCCAGTGTGGGGCGTGTAGGAGGCAGCCAATCAATGATCCTCATCATTGATGTTTCTCTCTCTCTCTGAAATCAATAAAAATATATTTAAAAAACACACACACATTAAGGACAAAACACTCAAAACAGACCAGCTGCCCTGGCCGGTGTGGTTCAGTTGGTTGAGCATCATCCTGTGCACCAGGGGATTGCCAGTTTGATAGCAGTCAGAGCACACATCCAGGTTGCAGTTTTGGTCCTCCACTGGGGTGTGTACAAGAGGCAACCAATCAATATTTTTCTCTCTGATAGATGTTTCTCCTCTAAAATCAATAAAAACATTTTAAACTGGCCCTAGCCAGTTTAGCTCAGTGGGTAGAGTGTTAGCCTGCAGACTGAAGGGTCCCAGTCAAGGGCACATGCCCGGATTGCTGGTTTGATCCCCAGTAGGGGGCATGCAGGAGGCAGCTAATCAATGATTCTCATCATTTTGTTTCTCTCCCTCTCCCTTCCTCTCTGAAATCAATAAAATTTAAAAAACAAAACACACAGACCAGCTGATCTGAAAAAGAAACAGCTGAAGAGAGAACTGGCAAAGTGGAAGACAGACCTGAAGAAATCACCCCATGTGCAAAATAAGTTCTGAGAGACATCTCAAGGCTCTAGAACAGGGGTGGGCAAACTTTTTGACTCGAGGGCCACAATGGGTTCTTAAACTGGACCGGAGGGCCGGAACAAAAGCATGGATGGAGTGTTTGTGTGAACTAATATAAATTCAAAGTAAACATCATTACATAAAAGGGTACGGTCTTTTTTTTTTTAGTTTTATTCATTTCAAACCGGCCCTCGGGCCGTAGTTTGCCCACGGCTGCTCTAGAAGGAGGAGTGGGGGAGAATAAGAGAAGTAAATTGAGAAGAATGCTGCTTAGGTTTTTCCAACTTATTAATGCTGGGTCCTGGGATTCAGGGAGCAGGGTGACAAGTGGACAGTTGGACCCACAGCAATGAGTATGTGGAATTCAAGAGCCCATGAACTTCTGGAGACGAGCTTATTTATTGGGCAAAAGGGTGGGGGCCAGCCCCTCACTCCTTGAGGGAGAAGTGCATCTTGTCGTTGATCATCTTGCGCTCAGGGTTTAGGCGTTTGAGGATCTGGGCAAGCACGTTCACTGTCTGCTCGCTGCTCAGCCCTGTCTTCTTGGTCTGGAACTTTTTCAGCAGGTCTTTCGTGGTCATGGGCTTCCGTGTCAGGTAGCGGCGCACAGCGTCCTCAGTCACCTGCACATCACTGGAGCACAGTGGAGAGTGGGGAGATTAGTGGGTGGCCCTCCTTCCCAGTGGTCCCCTCCTGCCCCTGCTGTCCTCACCAACTTACCCACTGCTGGGGGTTGACTTCCCAGATTGGGGCTGAGGGGTCGACTTCCCAGACAGGCTCTGGGGTCCACTGTCCAGCCGCAACCGCTTAGCTGCTGTCGCCTCATTTGTCTGCTTTCCTGTGAGAGCAGAGGCAGGGCTGAGTATTAGAAATGTGACACTGGACATGTTGGGAGACCCCAGGCCGGGTGGTGCCTAGATTATGGATACAAGGAGCTCAGGGGCAGATAGGTGTCAGCCCCTTGATCTGGCCTCAGATCCTGATGCTCAGTGCACACAAGAACAAAGGTCAGGAGGTTGCAGTGGGACGGGAAGGCCACCCACCTTGCTCCAGTTTGCTGGCAGCTGCCCGAAGGGTGGAGGAGGTGTTGCCACTCTCTGTGCTGGGTGTGCCAGGCCGGCTATTGCCCCTTGAGCTGCCCCCTGATGGCTTCCGCTCTCTCTTGGGGGGAGTCTTCTTTTTCTGCAAATTTTAGGGTTGGGGACGTGAGTCTGGAAACAGACACCAGGGCCGACATCCCTCCTCCCAACCCTCGCTGGGCCTTACAGCCATGAAGAGAGCTGAGGAGGCCTCACTGTCAATGTCACTTTCTTCTGAGCTGTCAGACTCATCACTGCTGTCTGTATGGGGACAAAGAAGAGCTGTCAGGATCAGAGGCACCCACACCCACCCTCAGCTCTATCTCAGATAAGGGGATCTAGTAAGGCGCAGAGGGGACAGAAGCCTAGAAAGCCAAGCCCACCTCTCTTCCGCTTCTTCTCTTGTGGGGTGGGTGCCTTCTTCTCCTCCTCCTCCTCCTTGTCCTCCTCAGGAGGCTTCTCCTCCTCACTCTCCTCACTGCTTTCGCTCTGCTCATCCACGCCCTTGGGACCCTCCTCCTGCTGGGTGACCTTGGGCTTGCCCTCCGGCTCTTCCTCAGAGCTGCTGCAACCCAGAGAGTGAGCAGAGGGTGAGTGAGCTCTTCCTCCAGGCTGTCCCCGGGTCTCACACCTGCCTCCCGCCTGCCTCACCTGGAGCCATCAGACATGTAGTCCACCTCCTGGCCCTCAAAGTCCCCATCATCACTGTCCTCGAAGGCCTCATCATCTGACCCCTTCTTCTTCTTCTTCTTCCGGCCTGCCTTAGTCATCGGTGCCTTCTTCTTGGCCTTGGGGGCTTTGACACCTGGGGAAGTGGAGGGGGCTGAGCACTCATGGGGGTTTGTATATTCAAGGACATTGGGACATCTCAGGCCTTGACCAAGGGGGAGATGGCCAATTCTTAGAGAAAGCAAAGGGCTTGCCTAGGGGCAACACCTCTCATGTGCAAACCAAACCAATCTGGGATCTATACCCGCTGGCCACAGCCTTTCTCCAATCTCACACTGAGGGCCACTGTCTTCTGCACTAAATCACTCTTGGAGCACAGAGCCCCTGGAATGATTCAAACTGGTGGATCCCACCATATCTTTTTTAAAATATGTTTTTATTGATTTTTTTTTTTTAAGAGAGAGGAAGGAAAAGAGAGAGGGGAAACAATGATGTGAGAAACATCAATCAGCATGCACCCCAAACACAGATCAAGCCTGCAACTTGGGCATGTGCCCTGACTGAGAATTGAACTGGAGACCTTTCAGTGCATGGGATGATGCTCAACCAACTGAACCATACCGGCCAGGGCCCATCACTCATTTCCGCCTCCAACTCATTCTGGTGCTTCTGCAAGTGGCCCTGCATGGCATGTTGTGCCTGCCTCTCATCTCCCAGGAAACTGTAAACTGTTTTTTTTCAATAGCATTAATCACTCTGTGTTGTCACTCAACTACCTTTATAAAGTAAGACTCAAGCGCGACTTAGGCAGCTGTGCCGAACACCCCAGCCACCAGGGCAGGCTCTGCCCAGGCTCACCCTCCTCGCCGCTGGCCTCGCTGTCATCAGACGACATCTCCAGGTCGTCTTCCAGGTCATGGATGCGCAGCTCACTGGGCTTTTTGCGGCCACGCTTATCCTTCTCCTCATCCTCCTCGTCCTGGTCCTGGTCTTTGAGCCGCCGCTGCTGCATGATGCTGAAGTGGTTCAGGACTTTGTTCCTCCTGCAGGCGGAGGTAAGGGGTACACTGGGGTCTGATAACAGGCCTGGCTCCAGGGCCCTCCTCCAGGAACCAGGTCTCTTCCCTGCACGTCACTGGATGTTCCCCAGAAGGGAACCACAGACATGAGTTAGGTGATAAGAGGCATGATCTGACCCCAGGGGACTCGCACATAACATGGACACCCTAAAAGCACACGGGGAGAGCTGACCCTTTTTCAGTTCCCTTTACCCCGAGCTCTCAAGGAGAAGGTGTTGGTGTGGTGTTGGCATCCCAGCACCTCTCTCAGCTCAAGACCAATTTCAGGTCCACACGAAGACACATCAAAATTAAAATAACAAAGACGCCCAGCCAGCATGGCTCAGTGGCTGAAAGTCAACCTATGAACTAGGAGGTCAAGGTTCAATTCTCAGTCAGCCCACATGCCCGGCTTTCAGGCTCAGT